TCCAAGACATAGTTTACACTGCTGAACAAAACGGATCCAGAGACATAGACGCATGGAAACGACTGTCGAATCTCAGAGGGGAGGTGGGGGTGGGTGGAAAGAGATCAACCAAAGAAGTTGTATGCGTATATGCATAACCCATGGACACAGACAATAGGGTGGTGAAGGCCTGGGGTGGGGGACGGGGTGGGCTAGAAAGGATCAATGGGGAGAAAAAGGGAACACATGTAATATTTTCAACAAAAAAGATTTTTTAAAAAGACAGTTTACAACCTATGTTCGATCACCAAGTAATTTAAAACAACAGTAATACAAGCTGTGAAACTAACTCCCCCTGGCCATCCACAGAGTAGCAGCAAAGGTCCCCTCCTCCTGTAAAAAATGAATTCACATGAGAGGAACTGGGTTTAAGGTGGCAAGGTTTGGGGCCCAGGCCTTATAGTGCCCAGGTCACTGCCTTAACTCACCATTCACCAGGCAGGTGCTGGGTACCCTCAGACCTTCAGGAAAAGGAAAATTCAAGAAATAAGGCTTCCAGATTCATTCTTTTCTCTGGATCCAGTTGTGCCCATCCCCATGAGGCGACCATTCATCCCTTTACTGTAGTTTCATAGAAAGGGATGCAGTCTGAACTGCTTTAAAAAAACAACACCATTTTATTTTGAATTAATTATGGACTGTAAGAAGTTGCAAAAAAATAGTACAGAGAGGTTTTCTGTACCCATTCCCCATCTTCTCCCAATAGTTGCATATATATATATACATATATATATATACACACATATGACCCTAAGCAACCGAATAACCGAACGACCGGTTGACTGGTTACTATGACACTCATTGACCACCAGGGGACAGATACTCAGTGCACAAGATCGGGCTTCCTTCTGTCTGGATTGGGCCTGCAGGGATCGGGCTGAAACCAGCTATCCGACATCCCCTGAGGGGTCCCGGATTGCGAGAGGGCGCAGGCCAGGCCAAGGGACCCTAGTCTTATATAACTAGAGTACTTGATTAAAACCTGGACATTGATACAGGCACAACACACTTAACTAGTCTACAGAGCTTACATGGACTTCGCTCATTTAAAAAATGTTTTGCCCTTTTTAAAAATCTTCACCTGAGGATATGTTTTTATTGATTTTTAGAGAGAGAGGAAGCAGGGAAAAGAGAAGCATCAATGTGCAAGAAAAACACCGATCAGCTGTCTCCTGTATGCACTCCAACAGGGGGATTGAACCCACAACCCTGACCAGGAGTCAAACCAATCTTCTGGTTACAGATGATGCTCCAAACAACTGAGCCACTCGGCCAGGGCATCTTTACCCATTTCTGAAGGTATATAAATATATGTAATTCTATGCAAGGTCTCTGCTTTTTTCTTCTATGTTACATAGCTTCCAACTGAAACACCTCCAGCATGTACCCACTGCTGCCTGGGAAACTGGAATATCTCAGAGATGTTCCCCATCCTCCCTAGGATTCGAAGCTTCATTCTTGGACCAGATCAGCTGATTAGAAGGCACGTACCTAGACTGCGCTACCTGGGGCCTCTGAGACTCTCCTCCATTACTGCCCTATAGTGTCAGGCCTTCAATTTCCCCTCAACAAGGAAAGGCCACAGGAATCCTGTAGAATCAGTTACTTAGATGTTTCAATAAGCCCACCCGGTGTGCCTCAGTAGTTGAGCGTCAACCCATGAACCAAGAGATCACTGGTCAGGGCACATGCCTGGGTTGTGAGCTCCATCCCCTACTCCAATCATGGTTCAGTCTGAAAAGAAGAAATTCAAGTGGTCTTTCCCCACTTAGAGACAATTATCAAAGTTTTGCTGTATGACATGCAGATATCATAGATAAAACAACCCTGACTGTCCCCTGATGGGAAAAGAGAAAAGAAAAATACAGGAACAAGAGTCAGAGAAAAAAAAAGAGAGAGAGAGAGAGTCAGAGCAGGCCCTGAAGGTCCATGTGCTGCCCCACAGCTTGGGCCAAGGCCTTATTTCTCAACCTTTTTTTCATTATTGCCTTCCACATCCAAAGGACCTTTGTCAATGTTTTTCTCCTAATGCCACCTCCCACCCCACTCTTCCTCCCATGAACATTTTTTTTCTTTTAACAAACATGTATTTCGTGCCCATTATATACAAGGAGCTATTTTAATCCTGGGGATATGGTATGAACAATACAGTCTCTACTCTCACATAGCACACATTATAGTGGGAGTATCAGACCGAAAAGAAAAGAATACATTTGTCAGACTGTCAGATGGAGATCAATGTTGTGGAGAAAAATAAGGCAGGTCTGAGGAAGTCAGAGTGGCTGGAGTGGCTGACCCAGGAGGGGAGCAGGACATGGGGTTATGTAGACCAAACAGACCTTGGCTCTGACTCCGAATGAGATGGGGAAAGGCATGTGTAACATCTGGGCAGGCTCTCTGGCTGCCCTGTTGAGAACAGACTGGGGACTGGGAGAATGGGAGGAGAAACAGGGAGATCGGTTGAGAGGATGTTAGTTTGGCAAAGAGGATAATACTGGAGGTGGTGAGAATTAATAACATTGTGGGTAGAATGTTTTTTAAAAATATTTTTTATTGATTTCAGAGAGGAAGGGAGGGGGGAGAGAGAGACAGAAACATCAATCATCAATGGTGAAAGAGAATAATTGATCGGCTGCCTCCTGCACATCCCCCACTGGGGATTGAGCCCACAACGGGAATCGAACCGTGACCTCCAGGTGCATAGGTCAACGTTCAACCATTGAGCCATGCCAGCTAGGTCTGGATAGAATGTTTTTGAACTTTTTTTCTACTATAACCAAATCATCATTATCATAGCTAAAAAAGCTATTTAATATCAATACTTAGTCAATATTGAAATACCTCTTGATTGTCTTATAATTTTTTTCAACATTAGAGTCTGCATCCAAATAAGACCCATATACAGGGTGGGGCAAAATGTAGGTTTACAGTTGTGAGCACGAGAATCACAGACTGACAGGCTGGCTGGAGTGGGTTCAAAAATGAATAGGATGGGAGGAATTAGGAAATAATGACAAGTCTTTCAAGAAGTTTTGCAGCAAAGGGGAACAGCAAGTAGAGGTGAGAGTGAAAAGCAATGACTCTTGGCCTCAGTCGTGAGAAGATGAGAGAGCCCAGGACTGCAGCAAACAGGTGAGTGCAAGGCCATTCACAGTATAGAACACTAGTTGTTTATACTGCCCACTCTCACCTTCTCCCTTTAGTAAGAACTGGGTGTTAGCTATGCACATGGCCATACAGATGGAGACCATGCATCCCCAGCCTCATCTGCAGCCAAATGTGGTCACACCAGCACATTCTGGCCAATAGGATGTGAGACGAAATGATACCTGCAACTTCCAGGCTGGGTCCTGAATCGGTGCATCCTCCACTTTCCCTTCCTATTCTAGACTGGCGCAGACATGATGGTTGGAAACAAGGCAGCATCTGGGACCAGGTGGAACCCAGCGTAGAGAGAGGACAGACGAAACAAGACAGAAGCGGCTAGACCAGCCGTGGGCAAACTACGGCCCTCGGGCTGGATCCGGCCCGTGTGAAATGAATAAAACTAAAAAAAAAAAAAAAAAAAAAAGACCGTACCCTTTTATGTAATGATGTTTACTTGAATTTATATTAGTTCACACAAACACTCCATCCATGCTTTTGTTCCGGCCCTCCGGTCCAGTTTAAGAACCCATTGTGGCTTTCGAGTCAAAAAGTTTGCCCACCCCTGGGCTAGACCTTCGGCACTATGGAGCCGTCATCTCTGTCCTGGGCAACTACTTCTTTGACTGTCAAATGAGAGAAAAATAAGTTTCCCTTGTTGAAAGCCACTTATTTTGGTCTTTGTCACAAGAGTCAAACATGCATCGTGACCTACACTCTCACATGCTTATGGCAGCTATTTCTTGGCTCCCGTAAATTACTGCCGTGAGGGACTGTGGGCCCAATGTTGTGCATTTGTCCAGTTTTACATGGAAACCTAGATTCCCTTAGACTATCTGACTTTTACATACTGACAATTAATTCTGATTTTCAGCACTACACAGGCCAGCAGAACTGGTCTGGGGACCGGTCTCATTTCCGTTTCACAGGCTTCTCTGAAACGAAGACTTTTCACTGGGACAACTAACATAATTTAGGAGAACAGTGACTAGATAGTCAAAGTCCTACAAGTTTGGGCAACACAAGACAGTCCCCAAAACTCTCACCTCCCTCAAATACAGTGTCCAGGGCAGCTCCACTCCCCTGGAGAACTTCCTGTCCAAGCTCCTAAGTCATCAGCAGCGACAACCCTGGTGTCTCACCTCGCCTGATGCCTCAGTATGTGAGCCTCCCTAGATACCAACGGCCTTTACCACCGCAAACACTGTCTCTTTCTTTCTTCCCTTCCCCCTTCTGTTTAAGATCAAACACCTTCTCATGAGACAGGGACGGACAACAGTATCGTGGAAGTGTCACCCATTTATGCAAAACATTGAAGGTGAAAAAGACATCCCTCAGTTTCATATGGAAGGTCTGGTAGCCTCACCAAACAAGTTCACCCAGACAAACCGCTCCTTGGAGAAGAGTGGGAGGTGGCATAAGACACAGAAGATGCAACATCCAATGCTCCTTTCATGGGACCCACTGAAGAGAGACAGGCTACAGAAACACAACCTATGTGGCATCGGCACTATGCCGGGCCCCCGCTGATACTCACATCTAAAAAACAAGATCCTCTGTGATGCAACTACAGCTAAGCCCTGGAATTTAGGTGAAAGGTCTGTATAAAGCCCATGGTTAGCCAAAAGCAATACTCTAATCATCAGCAGGGCAGTAACTCCGTCAAGATATTGCTCATACAGGTTCAAATTACGTGCTATCCTCACAAGATGATACGAAGATAAGAGAAATACCACGGCATCACTGTTGCACAAGTAGCACAATGAACAGAATCAAAACAATCGTTCTAGAAAAATAAGTTTCTACTTATATCACACCATTTGCCCTCTAAGGAGTAGGTCCTTGGTTCAGCATGGAGCCTTGGTGCTGTGGGACCCTCACAGGGTTACGATATCCAAGTTTGAAGATAGAAGCTGGAGGGAGTTTCTCTGCATCATAGAGGGAGAAGGATTTGGACGTGAGGAGGATGAGTAATCCAAGAGGGAAGGTGACAAAATAATACAAGAAGGGAAGGAGAATGGTGTGGGAGGTCTGGGTGCATCTGCCAAGAACTTCTACCCCCATCATTGGTCAACACTTAAAACTAACCCAACACTCAGGCAAATGGACTTGTAGACACCGGGGATGGGCAATAGCAAGGGTAGAGGAGGTGGGTGAGAAGACCAAGAGAACACTGGCTCTTTGCAAATTAGTGGAAATATATGGGAGGCCTTTAGGTTCCTCATACAGAGCTACTGAGGTTCTGAGGAATATCACCAATACCCTCAAGAGACAGGAGGCCCCTATGACACTTGGGTAAGATCACCACCCCCTAAAACAAGAGTTATGAGTTCTGCCCTCGCCGGTTTGGCTCAGTGGATAGAGCATCAGCCTGCGGACAGAAGGGTCCCAGGTTCGATTCTGGTCAAGGGCACATGCATGGGTTGCGGGCTCGGTCCAACCTGCAGGAGGCAGCCTATCAATGATTCCCTCTCATCCCTGATGTTTCTACCTTTCTCTTCCTCTCCCTTCCTCTCTGAAATCAATAAAAATATATTTTTTAAAAAAGTTATGAGGCCCTGACTGGTTTGGCTCAGTGGATAGAGTGTCGGCCTGCGGACTGAAAGGTCCCAGGTTCGATTCCGGTCAAGGGCATGTACCTTGGTTGCGGGCACATCCCCAGTGCCGGGTGTGCAGGAGGCAGCTGATCGATGTTTCTCTCTCATCGATGTTTCTAACTCTCTATCCCTCTCCCTTCCTCTCTGTAAAAATTAATAAAATACATATATATATAAAAAAAGTTATGAGTTCTTACTGTGCCACTGTGCTAAACAATTTACAGGAATTTGTATTTAATTTTTCAATAATCTCAAGATGTAGGTATTATTAGATATATTTTACAGACAGCTTAAAAATGTTAACTATTTTGTTTACAATCAGAAAGCTAGTAGAAGCCAGAGCAGGACTGAGAGCCAGATCTGTTTGATTATAAAGTCTGTCATTTCTGCTCAGACTTTAGTAGCCCATGTTTAGCTTTCAGAAAAGGGATCGGGTTAGATTCACGAATCACAAGACATGCCACCATCCGTGCCTCCTGATAAGCCACACTAAGAAGAACTCCACATCAGTAGTATTCCTGACTACACCATAAGCTGAATCTACTCACGAGGGAACACCAGGCAAGCCCAAGCGGAGGAGCATTCCACAAAATAACTCCCCTGGATTCTTCAAAATTGTCAAGATCTTGAAGGACAAAGAAAAACTGAGAACTATTCCTGCTTAAAGGACACTAAAGAGATGTGACAACTAAATGCAACGCGTGACCCTGAACTACATCCTGGGCAGGAAAAAGTGAATAGAAAGGATGTTATTGGGACTACTGGTAAAATCTAAGTATGAACTGTATTGGTATAAAGGATAAGTTTGCTGAACTTGATGGTTATACTGTGGTTATATAGGAGAATATTCTCGTCCTTGGGAGATGTATGCTAAAATACCTGGGGTGTTTGGGGTTCATGGTGTTTGTAACCTACTCCTGAATGGCTCCACAAAAATATTAAGTAGACAGATTGGGAGAGCGGAAGGATGAAGCAGGATATTTACATTTGAGAAATCACAGTGAATGAAGAGAAAGTTCATGATACCATTCTTTCCATTTTCCTTTGCAACTTTAACATTTTTAAATTTAAAAACTTGAAAGGATTCTGCTGTCAATTTCTGGCGATGTGACAGCCTGGGTATTCTCCCAAATGAAACAAGTATGGATAAAACAGAAAACATTTTAAAACAGTTTGCTGAGCTGGCATGAAAAGAAGGAATCCTAAGAGGCCAAAAATGAAATAAAATAGGAATCCTGGGGAGTAGCTGAACACCAAAGCCAGTTTTCAAGCTGAGGGTTTGTTAAACCTCTTGAGGATATAGAGCTCCCATCATTTTTAAAAAGCTTTTTTGAGATTTAACTCATATGTCATAAGCTTCACCCTTTTAAAGTACACAATTCAGTGATTTTCAGTATATTCACAGAGCTATGCAACCATAACCATTATCTAATTTCAGAACATTTCATTGCCTCCAGAGGAAACCCCTCTGCCCATTAGCAGCCACTTCCTATTCCTCTCTCTCCCACCACAGCCCCTGGCAAGCATTAATCTACATTCTGTTTCTAGGGAGTTGCCTACTCTAGACACTTCATATAAAAGGAATCCGATAACATGTGGCTTCTTTCTCTTAGCATATTGCTTTCAACTGTCATCCATGCTACAGGACACAGCAGTAGTTTATTCCTTTTTATTGCCAAATAGCAATTTATTGCATGGGTATACCATGTTTTGTCTACCCATTCATCAATTGATGGGTATTTGAGTTGTTTCCACCTTTTGGCTATTCTGAATAATGCTGCTATAAACATTCATGTACAGTTTGTGTGTGTATGTGTATGTGTAACATTTGTTTTATTAAATTTGGGGGTGGGGGATATACCTAGGAATGAAATTGGTGGGTCATATGCTAACTTTGTTTTTCCTTCTGAGGAACTGCCAAATTGTTTTCCAAAGTGGCTGCACCATTTTACAATCCTAACAGCAATACATGAGGGTCCCAATTTCTACATCCTCACCGAGACTTGTTATTGTCCATCTTTTTAATTATAGCCATCCTACTGGGTGTGAAATAGTATCTCATTGTGCTTTTGATTTGCACTTCCCAAAAGACAATGATATAGAGCATCTCTATGAAGTCCTTATTGGCTCGTCATATATTTTCTTTGAGAAATTGCTATTCCTATTCCTTGCCAAGCTTCCATTAATGTGCTGGATGGTGGAAGATAATTAAAGCCAGGTGCCCATCCAAGGTGAAAGTCTAACAGGAACCTCCTTCCCTCCCCCATATAAAACTGGGATCTGAAAAGGCCATCCCTTCCAAGTGAGGGCAGATAAGAAATTAACTCCCTGTCCAGAGGGAACAAGAAGAGAACAACTATCTCAATTTAGAGACACACTCAGCCTCTCATTTGGTGGGGCCTGAGTCTATGTAGGCTCAGAAGAGCACATTAGATCAGAAAAAGTTAAAGAATTTCTAGAAGTGTAAGAGAACTGAAGTTAAAAATTGAAGGTATGGCTTAAACAGCTAGTGAAATAATTATTAAAATGAAAAATATACTAGCAATAAATAAATAAACAATTTATTATAACTATCAATTTAAAAGACATGGACAATATAGCCTAAAGACCTAATAGAGATTTAATTAGAGTTTCAGAACAAGATGAAATACAATGAGAAAGACAATATTTCCAACATTTCCAGAGATAATGTCTGATAATTTTCCAATATTGCTGAAAGATCAATAACTGAGTCCAAGAATCCCAACTAAACCCAAGGATAAATAAAAAGAAATCCTCCAACATATCATAATGAGACTGCTGTATACAAAGCAAAGACCTTTTTAACAGCAAAAGCAGCTAAATTAAAAAGGAATGACAAATTGCAATTTGACTGCCAACTTCCCACTGCAACCATGGAAACCAGTGAGACAAAAGAATGACACCTTCAATGAATGGGGACAAAAATAGCTGTCAACTCAGAATTCTATAGCCTGTGTAATTACCTTTCAAGAACGAGGAAGAAAAAGATCTTCAAAAAACAAAAACAGATGGTGGGCCCGAGATATAAGAAGGAACAATGAGCAAACTATGTGGGCTGTAGATAAAACGAAATTGTTGACTGTGTACAACAATTATAATGCCTAGCTTGTAGGGGGGTGGAAAAGAGGACAGAACTAAACAACTAGAAGATATTATAAATAGTGAGGGATGTCATCAAAGTCAGAGTTCTTTGTTTTTGTTTCAGAACAGGGTAAAAATACTGATTAATTTTAACTTGTATCAACGGATTAAGTATGCATGTTAAATTAAGATAGAGAATCCACTAAAAGAATAGACAGAGCATAACTTCTAAACTAATAAGAGAAAGCAAAAAGGATGAGAAATACAAAAAAGAAAACTTTAATCATTCTAAAACACAGCAAAACGGGGCCATCAACATAGAAGGGTCAAATTATGGCACATTCATATAACAGAATACAATACAACTTTAAAAGTTAATGAGCCCCAGCCGGGTGTGGCTCAGTTGGTTTGAGCGTCATCCAGTACACCAAAAGGTTGTGGGTTCGATTCCCAGTCAGACACATAACTAAGTTGTGGGTTCAATCCCTGGGTGGGGTGTATATGGAAGCCAATTGATTGATGTTTCTCTCTTTCTCTTTCTCTCTCTCTCTCTCTCCCTTCCTCTCTCTAAAATATATCCTTGGGTGAGGATTAAAAAAATTTTTTTGAAGAATATTTAAAAATTAATGAGCAACTAGTACTAGGCAACATGGAAAACACTCCATGATGAATGAAAGTAGCAAGTCATAGATGAAAATATGTGATTCTATATTCTGTGAAGTTCAAAATGAGTCAAGGCTAAACAATGGCCAGAAAACATAGAACTTTACAGAATACAAAGCCAGGTCAGTGGTTACCTCTGGGAAAGCAGGCAGGACACGCAAAGGGACTTGGAGATATGGTAGAGTTCTAGCTCCTCAACGGTGTGCTGGGCACATGGCGACCTGTTTTGTTATTCTTTCACTTGTATATAGGTTTTAGTGCTGTAAGAAAGTGTGAAGGAATCTTAGTTCTGGGGGCGTGGCACAAGTCTGCAGAAGGCAACTCCCTACTCCTTAGTTATGCACGTCAGCAACTCAACGGCTGTGGCTCAACCTTTTCAAGTATCTCGAGAGATAGGAAACACAAGTGCCAACTCCCATCTGAGCTCCCTTTCTGCCTGCGAGTAGCTAAGCTAGCCTGGTATTAATCAGTGAA